TCCTGAAAATGGGCACCCCGAAAACGGTGATCCCGAAAACAGGCACCCCAAAAACGGGGAATCCTGAAAATGGGCACCCTGAAAATGGGCACCCCAAAAATGGGGAATCCTGAAAAACGGGCGCCCCAAAAATGGGGATCCCTGAAAATGGGCACCCTCCCCATTTCGTGGTTTCTCCCCCCAAATCCCCGTCCCCAGGAGGTGGCCAAGGCGTCCCTGCTGTCCCCATTCCGTGGTTCCTGTCCCCATTTTGTGGTTCCTGTCCCCATTTCAGGATTTCTGTCCCCATTTTGGGATTTCTGTCCCCAAACCCTGTTCCATGTCCTTGTCCCCGTCCCCAGGCGGTGGCCAACTGTCCCCATTTCAGGATTTCTGTCCCCTCCTGTCCCCATTTTGTGGTTCCTGTCCCCATTTCAGGATTTCTGTCCCCATTTTGGGATTTCTGTCCCCAAACCCCTGTCCCCGTCCCCATGAGGTGGCCAAGACGTCCTGCTGTCCCCATCTGTCCCCATTCCGTGGTTCCTGTCCCCTTTTCGGGATTTCTGTCCCCATTTCATGGTTCCTGTCCCCATTTCATGGTTTCTCCCCCCAAATCCCTGTCCCCAGGAGGTGGCCAAGGCGTCCCTGCGCTGCCCGGAGCTGCGGCCCGGCGCGCTGGCCACGCTGCTGGCCGGGGCCGAGCTGGGGCTGCGCCTCCTGGCCCCCTTCGCCCCCTTCGGGGGGGATCCCTGTGTGTTTTTGGGGTTCCTGGGGGGATCCCTGTGTGTTTCTGGGGTCCCTGGGGGGGGTCCCTGTGTGTTTTGGGGGGTCCCAGCCCCTGTGCCCCCCCAGGCGCGCTGGCGCAGCCCCGAGCTGGAGGCGCAGGTGGCCGCCATGCTGGAGCTGGTCCGGGCCGTGCGGGGGCTGCGCGAGACCTTCCGGCTCGGGGGGGCCGCCCGCCCCCCAGGTGAGCCCCGGGGTGGGGAGGGGTGGGGGGACTGCAAATCCCAGCATGCTTTGGGGGTGCCAAGATGGCCGATCAGACACAGACTACAAATCCCAGCATGCTCTGGGGGGGTTAAGATGGCTGATCACAGACTACAAATCCCAGCATGCCTTGGGGGTGCTAAGATGGCTGGTCAGACATGGACTACAAAGCCCAGCATGCTTTGGGGATGCTAAGATGGCAAATCAGACACAGACTACAAATCCCAGCATGCTCTGGGGGAGACAAAATGGCCGATCAGACATGGACTGCAAATCCCAGAATGCTTTGGGGGGGTGCAAAAAAAATTAATAGGTTGATCAGACATTGACTACGAATCCCTGAATGCTTAGGGGGAGCCAAAATGGCTGATCAGATTCAGACTACAAATCCCAGCATGCTCTGGAGGAGGAAAAAAGGGCCAATCAGGCACGGACTACAAATCCCAGCATGCTCTAGGGGGAAGCCAAGATGGCTGATTGGCCCTGGACTACAAATCCCAGCATGCCTTAGGGAGCCAAGATGGCTGCCATGGGTGGGAACTACAAATCCCAGCATGCCCCACCCTGCCTCAAGATGGCGCCCCCCATGGTGGCAGCCATGTTGTGGGCGTGGTTTCCCCGCAGTGCTGGTGCAGTGCCCAGACCTGGCTCATGATTGGCTGCAGCAGCTCGGCCCCGCCTTCCAGACGCTCTCAGGGGCGGGGCCTGTGCAGCTCCTCCCCCCGGGGGAGGAGCCGGGGCCGGGCTGGGCGGGGGCTCCCGCGGGGTCCGGAAGCTTCGTGCACCTGCGCATCCAGGTGAGGGCAGGGCCAGGCTGGGGGCGGAGTTTGGGGGTCCCGGGGGGATTTTGGGGGGTCCTGGTGACACTTTGGGGTCCCCAGGCCCTGGTGGATGCGGGGGGGTTTTGGGGGGTCCTGGTGACATTTTGGGGTCCCCGGGCCCTGGTGGGTCCAGGGGGGTTTTGGGGGGGCCCAGCAGCGCCAGGTTCGTTACCAGCGCCTTTAATTACTTTAATTAGCGCCGCTAACGAGGCCGGGGGGGGCGGGGTGGCCTGGTTAGCGCTGCTGCCCTGATTAACGCTCGTTAATTAATGCTCATTAACCCCTTCCTCCCCAGGCCGCCGAGGAGCGAGCGGGGCTGGAGACCCCCGGGGACCCCCCCAGGGACCCCCAGCTCAGGGGGGGCGGGGATTTTAAATAAATAAAATAGAATTTATTTATGAAATAAATAAAGTGTATAAAATTAAATAAAGTGGTCTGGGTTTATTAATAAATAAAATCAAGTTTATGAATTAAATAAAATAAATAAAAATAAAATAAAATAAAATAAAATAAAATAAATTTTTGAACTGCTACAGCTTAAGAAAGTAAATTTGGTTCCAATAAAAGGAAAAATCAAACTTTTTTACACAGACATAAACAGTTCACAAAATAGTGCATTGAGAACACCAAACCTTTTGTTTGAGCTGTAACAAAATGCTTAGTTTCTGTATTCTAAATAAAATAAATAAAAATAAAATAAAATAAAATAAAATAAAATAAAATAAAATAAAATAAAATAAAATAGCCTGGGTTTATAAATTAATAAATATTTATAAAATAAATGAAATAAAATGCTCTGGGTTTATTAATAAATTAATTAAAATTTCTTTATCAAATAAATAATTAAATAGAATTTTTAAATGCCCTTAATGAGGTTGTGGCCTCGTTAAGGGGAGGGGGCGGGGCTTGACCTGTGTCACCTGTGTCACCTGTGTGTGTCACCTGTGTCACCGCGTCACCTCAGGTACCGTGTGTCACCTCTGTGTGTCACCTCTGTCATCTGTGTCACCTCAGGTACCCTGTGTGTCACCTCTGTGTGTCACCTGTGTGTCACTGCAGTCACCTCAGGTACCGTGTGTCACCTGTGTCCCCTGTGTCACCTGTGTGTCACCTGTGCCACCTGTGTGCCACCTCTGTCACCTGTCACCTGTGTCACCTCTGTGTCCTGTGTCACCTGTGTGTCACCTGTCTGTCCCTTGTGCCACCTGTCACTCCCTGTGTCCCCAAGCCCCCCCCGTGGCCCCTCCCCCCTGACGTCCCCTCTGTCCCCCAGGTGTCCCCATGGCCGAGGGCGGCCCCTCCCCCCGTGTCCCCCCCGGGGAGGTGACAGAGCCGGGACAGCCCGGGGGTGGCAGCGGGGGTGGCACTGTCACCGTCACCCCCTGGGCCAGCGGCATCACCATCACTGTCACCGCGGCGCCTGCCCTGGAGGAGCTCGGGGACACCGAGGACCTTGGGGACATCGGGGACACCGAGGACCTTGGGGACATTGGGGACATCAAGAACCTTGGGGACCTTGGGGACACCGAGGACATTGGGGACATCAAGAACCTTGGGGACACTGGGGACATCAAAGGCATCCAGGACATCGGGGACATCAGGGATCTTGGGGACATCAAGAACCTTGGGGACCTTGGGGACATTGGGGTCACTGAGGACATCAAGAACCTTGGGGACATCGGGGACATCAAAGGCATTGGGGACATTGGGGACACTGAGGACATTGGGGACATCGGGGACATCAAAGGCGTTGGGCACCTTGGGGACATCGCGGTCACCGCAGATGGAGGACAGGGCGGTGTCCCCATCCCGTGTGACGAGGACATGGGGGACATTGGGGACATCAAGAACCTTGGGGACATTGGGGACATGAGGAACATTGGCGACATTGGGGACATCGGAGATGTCACTGTCCTGGAGGACACTGGGGATGGGGACGTGCCAAATCTTGGGGACAGCGGTGTCCCCACCCTGAGGGACAGCGGGGACAGGGACAGCGGGGACAGGGGTGCCACCATCGCTTGGGACATTTGGGACAGCGATGTCCCCACTCCTGGGGACCGGGACACTGGGGACATTGGGGACATTGGGGACATTGGGGACATTGGGGACAGGGACGTGTCAAACCTTGGGGACAGGGCTGTCCCCACCCCGAGGGACATCGGGGACAGGGACAGCAGGGACAGGGAGGTGCCAGCCCTTGGGGACACGGGCGGTGGTGACAGCGGTGTCACAGCCCAGGGGGACATCGGGGACTGGAATGGTCGGGCCAGCCAGGACAGGGACACTGGGGACAGCGGTGCCACCACCCTGAGGGACACTGGGGACAGGGACAGTGGGGACAGCGGTGCCACCACCCTGAGGGACACTGGGGACAGGGACATTGGGGACAGGGACATTGGGGACAGGGACATTGGGGACAGGGACATTGGGGACAGGGACATTGGGGACAGGGACATTGGGGACAGGGACATTGGTGCCACAACCCTGAGGGACACTGGGGACAGGGACATTGGGGACAGGGACACTGGGGACAGGGACATTGGGGACAGGGACATTGGGGACAGGGACATTGGGGACAGGGACATTGGGGACAGGGACAGTGGTGCCACAACCCTGAGGGACATTGGGGACAGGGACCTTGGGGACAGCGGTGCCACCACCCCAAGGGACATTGGGGACAGGAGGGACAGTGATGTCACCGCCCTGAGGGGTATTGGGGACAGGGACATTGGGGACAGGGACATTGGGGACAGGGACAGTGGTGCCACAACCCTGAGGGACATTGGGGACAGGGACCTTGGGGACAGCGGTGCCACCACCCCAAGGGACAGTGGGGACAGGGACATTGGGGACAGGGATGTTGGGGACAGGAGGGACAGTGATGTCACCACCCTGAAGGGTGTTGGGGACAGGGACATTGGGGACAGGGACATTGATGTCACCACCCTGAGCGACACTGGGGACAGGGACATTGGGGACAGCGGTGCCACCACCTTGAGGGACACTGGGGACAGGGACATTGGGGACAGCGGTGCCACCACC